TCTCATGAATGTTATTGGTTTAAAAATTTTTGAGTAACGTTTACCTCCGTAACAAGCTGTCTTGCACCTTTTTCAGCATACAAGTTACCGATAAAATTAACTCATCTTTTTTGACAACTTCTCGCTCAAAGTTATCTCTCCGTACTAGTGTTACTTCATTTCTTTCCATGTCTCTTGGACCGAATTCAATCCTGATTGGTACGCCTTTCAGCTCCCAGTGATTGAACTTCCATCCAGGTGTTCGATTATTTCTATAATCACCCCGCGCTCTAAATTTACTCTTTTTCAGTTGACGCTCCAGACGAGCGCATTTCTTTAGAAGTTCATCTTTCTTTGACTCAGACATGCTTGCGACCATACCACAGGGAATCACAACAACTTGTATTGGTGCTACATTTGGAGGTAATACCAAACCTCGATCATCTCCGTGTACCTAAATAAATAAGTATTCATTATAAAATACATAGCTTATGCAGCATGCCATGTGTCATCTATATATAATGATAATAATTGTAGTAACCATTATCATGACACCAATCGTTCGTGTGGTTAAACCCCATGAATTTTGATAGACGAACGTTTTTTCTCCTTTCGCGATACCTTCTACTTTGATATCAAACATTTTCGAAAAGTTTTGTCCTAGATGATGGCTCGTCGCTCCCTGTATCGCGTGACCATTAGTTGAAATGAACGCTTCGACAGTAGTGGTATAAACGCCACCCGCGAACTTCTCCTTTTCAGTCTTATAACCCTTGATGACGGGCACCGCTAACAACTCCTCATAGACTTTAGCGTACATATCTAAAATGTTAAACACTTCCTTTTTCGCTTGCTTCTGCTTAGCAAACGCGGTATGACCCTCCTGCCATAAAAATTCTCTGGTGCGGAGAAACGGTTTGGGATCTTTAAATTCCCATCTCTGCAAACAAAAATAAGATAATTGAAACGGAGCGGTATTAAAGTAGAGTAAAGAAAAAAGACTGATAATACTTACCACAACGTTGTTCCATTGATTGAGCTTAAGAGGTAACTCGGTGTCAGTCCTCAGCCATTTGGCATAAGCCGGGTACATAACAGTCTCCGAGGTAGGCCGTATAGCTATGGGCTCCGCCATATCGTCTTCGCCGCATTTTGTTACCCACGCGACTTCCGGCGCAAAGTCCGTTATATGCGCCTTCTCCTTTTCTAATGCGCCACGAGTAACGAACAGCGGAAAATAGCATGGTTCAACACCGAGCGCCTTTATCTTTTTATCGATGTACTCCTTTATCATCTCCCAGATCAAGAAACTCCACGGACGAAGAATGTAGCATCCTGACACGTCATAATATTCAATCATTCCGCTCTTCGTGATAACTTGCGAATACCAATCAAAGAAGTTCTCTTCCTTCTTCGCCTCCAGTCCTAATCTCGTCCCAGTTTTGCTTGTATCTGCATCTTGACTATCCGCGTTTTTCGCAACTTCTTTCTCCGACGTCTTTCCGGGCTTGGGAGAATTTTGCTTTTCCTTTTTCGACGCTGCCTCCAAATTCGCGGGCTTCCAATCCTGACCAGTCGTATTTCTATAGTCACTTTCCAGGCTTAAGAGAACCTTCACTTCTTGATCAATAATGCTCTTATCGGCTTTCGAGCTTTTTAAATTTCGTACTTTGTCGCCTTGCTTCTTTATTTCTTCCGATATCATCTTCGCTTTTGAAATTTCTTTACTCTCTGGCTTTGTCTTACTTTCAGTACTAGCAACTTTAGTGTCAGCTGGTTTCCAATCCTGACCAGTCGCATTTTTATAATCACTTTTCAAATTTAAGAGAACCTTCACTTCTCGATCAAGAACCTTCACTTTTTGACCAATAATGCTTTTTAGATTTTGCACTTTGTCGCCTTGCTTCTTTATTTCTTCGGATATCATGTCTGCTTTTGAAATTTCTTTGTTCTCTGACTTTGTCTTACTTTCTTCTATTTTTTCTAAAGGATTTCTGTATACGATCACTTCATCTTGATTGCTGACGCATTGCATTTTATCTTCCTAAAAATTTTCTCTTTTACTTATTCATATTAATTTAAAGCTAAAGGTATACTGATTTTACCTGTTGATTACGTGACACTGCAGGCGTCATATAAGGTGTTGTTGTATGTCCATCGGGTATATGGAACAATATAATAGGTTGTTCCCGTGATGAATAAGAACTAATGGTGGCATACGGAACGTCACAAATAAAAAATCCCTTCCTCTGCAGTTGAATTATCTCCCCCTTCTTCACGCGTTTGAGTTCCACTTCACCCAGCATTTGAACCTCTTTCTAAAATAAGAATTTTTATGTACAATTAACGATACACATAGTAATTGCCAGTTTACTTGTTTGTAAGTAAAATTCTTACTCTTGTATCCTTGGTAACAAAGTTTTTAAAATCGTCGTCTTTACCCAAACTCGGCACGCTCAAAATGTGATCAAAGTAAACAGCTTAGCATTTTATTGGATTTGACTTTTCCGCATTTGGATCAGATCTGGGTAACGACTCAGCCAGCCATGTAATCTTCAAGGTGTTTTTGTAATTTTTGTCCTCCAAATTTAGTCGTGCTTCCACATGTACTATGTTGCCAGCCTGCTTATTTATTTTTAGTATCATTAAATTACCCCAATTGATAAAGGTTGCATTCTGTCCTTCGATTAATCTTTCAGCATCCTCCTTTTCTATCAATATTTTAGGGCCCACTCGCACTCGTTTGGTACCTTTAGATGAATCTTTAGGATGATTTTGCACACTCAACCACTCTTCTTTAGCATCTACTACATTCACCGGTATCATTTCATTGTAATCCAATGAGGTATACCTAAAATTATAGATACTTTTAAAAAATATCGACATACTAGTATCCATCAAACTTTTAATTACATTTTTATTACCTGACTGCGACTGGGTCGATGACTTTCTTGTTAAAAGCCCATATTTTATCCCACTCCATGAAGACCACCGATCTGGAACTACCTTGTGCGATGATAAATTGTTTCAGACCCTCAACTGTCATTCCTCGTCTCAGAATGCCTCTCACTGTCGGAAAGCGTGGATCGTCCCAGCCATCGACTAGGCCTTCATTTACGAACCAGGTTAACTTTCGTTTAGATAAAACCGTATGCGTCATGTTTAACCGTGAATATTCCCAAATGTACGGGCGACGCAATCCCAAACTCTCGATTATCCAATAAAATTGAGCATCTCTATCATGATACTCCGTGGTACGTAAAGTGTGAGTAACGTTTTCAATAGCGTCGACAATTGGACAGGCAAAATCATACGTAGGATACACCCTAATGTAAACAAATAAAAGCAATAATTCTATAATAAAATTGTAATTTTTAGGCTGTACCGTAGCTCGTATTAATACTGATATAAAAAACAGTATTGTTAACCAAATTTATATATTATATTGCGAATATAGTATATAAAATAATTAGTTTAGTTATTAACATCAACAAAGTAACCCAATATTAAAATTTTTTTTAAATTATAACTAAACCTTTCAAGCTATTGTAGATTAATAATATATAAATAGGTCTTGCAAAAATATTAAAAAATATAAATACTTGTATTTGTTTCCAGTACGTGGATGAGATTCTGGCTTGCAACGGTAAATTGTTGGATCGCGCATGCATCCGTTTGTTGACTGATAATCGATCTTTGCCCTGACACAGTACTTTTGACCCTCCTCGGTACCGCGTTTCATTTCTTCCCACAATGCCAGATTATCGTCAACGGCTGTAAGGCGGAATAATCATTATTACAATAAATCGAGATAGAAAATTAATATGACGTTTCTTCTCAAAATAATTATTTACAGCTATCTCGATATGTAGATTTCAATCTCTGATCGCGTTGTTCTTTCATAAGATTCGCCGGGGTGCCATCCACGTATGCCTTTCCATTCTTAATTAATGTAGTACAATAGTCTTGTAATATCTCAAAGTAATCCGAGGTATGCGTAAAACGATCAGGCTTAATTTGCAGTAATCTTAAATCTTCCAATATAGCGTCCTCAAATTCTACGGTCTCCTTCGCTGGATTTGTGTCGTCAAATCGCATGATGAGCTGTCCTTGAAAAGCCTCGGCGTAATACTGATTTAAGAGAGCTGCTTTGGCATGACCAATGTGCAGGTAGCCACTTGCTTCCGGTGGGAATCTTACCACTACCTGCAGAAGATGAGTGAACATTTTTTTAGAAGTTACAAGAGTTAAAAAATCAAAAT